CCCCCCCCCCCCCCCCCCCCCCTCCCGGAGAGAAAGGCGAAAAACAAATACACCAACGCCATCTCTGAGCACAAATGCGTGAGCACGTACAGAAAAAGTGACTCTGGCGGGCGGGTCCTGCAGCACGTCCACCCCCCCTCCCCCCCCGCCCCGTCTCTCTTGCTCTCCCGGTGCCTCCCCTTCGTACAGAACAAAGGCTGTAGAGCTACGGTCCGATGACCTCACGGTTCTCCGCTTCCGTCTCCCTCCGTTCCCTTCCGTCACTGGAGTCCTTCGGCCTCGTGCTGGTGGCGTCTACTCTCCGTCTGCCCCGAGTGCACAGGGCGCCTATTGACCCCATGCCGTTGCGAGGCCCGAACAGCATGCATAAAGGCAAAAAGAACCCCAGTGAGTAGACGAGCGAGAGGCCAACGGCAAGCATGAGAAGGTAGCCAAATCGGCGGTAGCCTGGCGACTGACAAAACGCCATGGCGATACCTGATGCAGAACATACCATGTACAGCACTAAACCTAATATCCAGGTGAGTGCTGTGGATACCCGCCGACGCAGTCGTGACAGCGGCCGCCAGCACCGTCAGAGCCATCTCACGAATAGCATACTTGGTCCGCTCCTCACGGTTGTCACACAGGGATCTGACATGCGAGGAACTCGTTCCACAAACGATTGTGTTAGTCTTGTTTGTTTACTTCGGGCAGTGCTGGTAGACATATGAGAGGTGAATGACGTAGTCGATGGAAAAGCCAATGGTGCCAATGGTGGTGATGCACTCATAAAAACCAAGACCCCAACCTATAATGACTGCACGTATCATACACGCATTGTAAGGACAAACCAGCTTCCCCTTGCCTTTGCCGGGTTATTTGACCTGAAATGAACCCCAGTATGCTGGCAACGATGGCTCCGATGGTGCAAAAGGAGAAGGTCGCTAGGATGAGGTTTCTACCAAGGCATGGCAAAAGCTGCTTTGTTCAGGATGATCGAAATTTGTATCTGGTTGTACGTACCTGGACATGACGAGCAGGACGACAAAAACGACGGGAAAGACGATGGACAGCCCCTCAAATAGCGACGTAATCACTCCGGTGAGGACCTCAGCGTTAGCCAGCTCCAGACTACCATCGTACGACAAGGTCATGAGCTCGGACGGCGCCCGAGATCGCAAATCCCTCTCCCACTCATCCAACCAGTTGCCGAACGTCAGCACGTCCGACACCCTGCATACAAGCACACATGTTGCGTCAGATGAAGCCTGCTACTGCACTAACCTCCTCCCCACATCGTCACTCACCTATTGAGTGCATGCACAGAGGTGGTGAACTTGACCTGGACCCATCTGAGCTGACCACGCTCAAAGCCGATGATCGACGCGTGTCTAGGCACACCATTAGCGTCAAGGTCCTCGCTCTGGAAGATCCTGAGACGACTGGTCATGCTGCCAGACGATGTCGAGCTGTTACTGGGTATCCACCGACTGAAGTCCTCAAGGAAGCACTCCACTGTGCCTGGGAGAGCCAGTTTGCGGTCACCAAGAGGAGAATGCCTGACAATACAAGGCAAGCATCAACGGATACAACTTGTGTGATGGTGTGCTGGCTGGACCACACTCACTCGCATATGGGCAGGTCGCACTCTTTTTGCCGTATCTCTTCGCAGAGGTCCAGGATGAATGCCTGGGCAGCACTGCTCTCGAGGGTGAAGTTGGCGTCGTACCGGACCTCTCCTCTGTACACAGCTGGGTTCCACTCGGAGAATGGTGGCGGTCTCTCCAGGGACTTGACGCCAAAAAGGAAGGAAACTCTGACAAATGCACCAGGCAGCGACTGACCCTGAAACGTCTGGGTCAGACGGTGTGCAACATCTGAAGAGTACAAGAAAACAACGGGCTTTGGCTGTGTGCCGCCAGCCGGCGCTTCTGCATGCCTCATATGACCTGCCATCATGTGGCCTTGGGAAAACGTCATTTCCTGCACACATGAGAGAGGCATAGCGTGTAGCGACTCAACCATTTCTCGGCAGACTCTCTCAGCTTGCGTTGTATACCGGCCATGTTTGTGGTGTGATATGGAGCTGACTTGCGAACCATATGTTGATCGCACAGAAGGCCGTAAAGGCCAAGAGTGACGCCCAGCAGACGACCTTGACTCCCTTGACTTTCCAAGACAACGGGCGAATATAGATGGCCTCGAGGCACCTCAGCCCCAGACCTCTCTTGGGTGGCTGGCCGTCATCGCTCTCCGGCACATCGGGGGGACCTTCTGCTGGCTCAGAGGTGCCCAGTGGGACGGATGGCTCCACACTGCCAAAGGCCTGGGAAGATGAGGCAGAGGTTCTCAGGGTATGCTCGTCGAGGGGCTCTGCGGTGCTGCTAGTGACGGCCTTCGCCATCGGAATGGCGGGTTGCTCCTGTTCACTCTTTGACGAAACAGGGAGCGGTGACGGACCGTAATCGGCCGGACTCCTTCGTCTGCACTCTGAAGTCTCTCCACAGCACCCCTCTCGCTTCCAACGGTCACAAAGGACGAGCATTGGTGACATGAGGGCGAGTGCCCACACCCAGTTGGTGAAGGTGCACAGGCCAATGAAGATCCCGACCGCCCGAAAGGGCATGAGAGGCGAGGACGCGAGGGCAAAGAAGGCAGCTGCCGTCGTCAAATTCGTGCTGGCCGTCGCAAAAGCAGTGTGGTAGCACGCACCATAGAGATCACTGGAGCAGAGACAAACAGGCACCCATGTCATGCGCCAAGAGTGCCATCCTCATCATGCGCCCACGTTATTGCTCTCTCGTAGGAAATATCCTTCGGATGCCTTGTTCTCCTGTGAATCCATGTGTCCCACAGCACCAGCACATTGTCCGCCCCGATGCCGCACAGGAGGAAGAGCGCACCCTTCTGCAGTGTGCCGAAGTAGTCCAGTTGCACTGACCACATCAAAAGGCGTACATGCACAACGAGCATAGATGAGCCATGAAGCACTGCTGTCCTCATCTTAGTAAGCTTACGGACGAATCTATACAGTACGAGGGCCGTGTTGAAGGCAAAGAAGATCTGGGCACAGCCTACAAACAACGTAAGACAGGCGGGCGGTGGAGAGGTCTTCGGTCGCCTGTCAGCCTCTTGTGTGTACTGCGCTCACCCATGAAGGCGTAGAGGAATGAATGTGTGTACAGCAGGAAGAACAGGAAGATGAATCCGAATGCTAGCCCCGCCCAGAGGGTGTCCGCGAAGAACATATCATACTCTTCTTCGAAGAACAGTAGCTTGTTCCACAGCGCTACGGTCAAGCCTGGCTCAGACTCGGTCTTCTTTGGCCTTGGTGTACCGTCGTCTAGAGGCATGCCCCATCCGCGGCCCTGACGATCAACATGGGACACGGACAAGTGCACAAGGCCCTTTGAGACCGTCCCAGTGCTGTATGACCTGATTGAGTCTGAACGGGCTTTGGCCGAACGGTCCATGGGGATGCGCTGCCTCGAGATGGTGCAGCATGCCATCACGAACAGACGTCAAAAACGGGATAACCTTCGAAATCTGCACAACATGAGACGCATCGAGGAGAGAGAAAACAGCGATCCACCGCTTTTCGTCCAGACTCGACCATACCTGCTCAATTTGCCTGTCCTGCGCATTTCGGTATCCATCCAGAGGTAATCCGGCCACGAAGACCACGGACCGCGTTGCAGTCATATCGCCGCCATTGCCCCTCGTCACGTTGCCCTCTACCGGCCCCTCACCCTTCTTGACGAAGAAGAGAGCCTCTGGATGCTTTGCATAGGTCGACGGCAAATGCAGGCCTCCGTTGATGGTGCGCACATGCTCCTCAGACAGCAGGGGGCACGACCAGTTGTGTTCTTGGCCCCCTCTGTCGTAGAACACCCTGACTATGCTTCCCTCTGCCTCGCGACATTGCTGTGCGTCGACAGATAAAGAACAGACATCCCGGTAAGAAGGGTGGGTGTGGATGTGGGCCTCCAGTAGACACATTTGCCTGAAGAAAAGACGAACACAGTGCTGGCTGGTCCTTGTTTGTTTGCTGGTGCCAACCTGAGTGTGGATGGTGTGAACAGGTCAGCCCCGCCCTCAGCGGTGTAGATGAGTCCCAAGGCCATTTCAGGTATTGTGGTGTATCTCGTCCTGTTCTCCCAACCCAGCACCGGTTCACTGTTGCCCTCTGCTATCTGCCGCTTGTCCAGACGCTGAGTATGCGGGCCGCTCGTTGGGCGCCAGTCATCATGCTGATCCTCAGTCCGCAACAATGACGACATTATGTCAGACAGCAGACCCTCTACACGCAGAACGATACACTGCGATGTGAAACATCGACGTTCGGCAAGAGGGTGTGTCAAGTGCTTGCTTAATGAATGACGTCTCCTCTGCCCTCTCACCTATGGTCCACTCCGCCTTGCTACCCTTCTTGATTGTGGTCGCCATCAGCCCAAGCGCCACGAGAATTGCACCGAGCAAGAACCATCCTCCAAGCCAGCTTGAGGGTGACGCAGCCACACTGGCACAGTAGCGTTTGGCGAACCACCTTCTTCGAGAGGCAGCAGGGGCAGCAGGGTGGTCTGGCGGCTCCATCGAAGGTGCCCCTTCAGAAGATCCAACCACACGCACGCCGTACACAGATAATTCGCCTCTTGGTTGGATGGTTAGTGTGTTTAACGAGACTTGTGTCTCTAACCCCGGAGGGGTTTCTGTCATGTCACGCACTAAACTGGCAACATGCACATGCAGCCTCGCGCGACTTTGTTCAACACATGAACCTCCGTGTCCTCTGTTCTGACATCAACACCCAGACAGTCGTAAGTTACCGCCAGTGCCAGGGCGTTCGGCCAGCGGATAGTGTAGTCTCCTATCTGCAGCTCCCGCTTCATGAGCCACACAGCAGTGTCCTTGATAGTCATAAGCTTGCCGGGTGCCCCATTGCAGAGGTCGAGGCCCACAGCAGCCAGTAGTAGCCAAAGGAGAGACAACCCGGGGTCAGTCAGGCAATGTCCCAGCCGAAACGACAGACGAAAGAGAAGACCTGAGCTCATCTTTGTGAGACACGGCCAAAGAGTGTTTGTTTCCTCTGTCTCTCTCTGTCAGTCAGTTGTCTTTGTCGATTTCTGCTGTGTGTCCGCCAGTCACCAAGCGCCTCTGGCTCTTAACCTGTCGGATAAATGGCGTGCTCAAGTTGCTCGTAGAGTAGTTGATGACCAAGCAGATGGAGTCAGAGTCTTTTCTCTTTGGAAAGACCCAGTGGTGCTCAACGCCATGCGTTGGACTTCCGCCAGAATAGTAGGCTCCGTTTCACGAAGCTACCTAACAAAGCGGGTATTTCCCTGGGCTCTGGCCAGGGGTAACTGGCCAGACGGTATTATGATGGGTTCTGCTGCTCGTTTCACGTAGCAGCCTAAGCTCGGGCTTGAGTGCCCTTCGACAGCATTGCCCTTGATCCCCGATTTTCTTGTTTGTTGAGTGAAGATACGACAGATGCGAAACACCTCCGTCAGAAAAATTAACCGAAAAACCGTAAAACAGTAAACTCGAGTACTTAGGAAATTCGTGAAACAGATACATTTTCCAGGATGGAGGTGTTGGAGCGTCTATCGCTAATCAGCAAAGTGACAACGGAGCTGTACAATCACTGGGGAGTGGAAGACAAGGTCGGGACACACCGCTCACACAGTGACTCACTCGCACAGGGACTCTGCCTTATCGTTGGCGTGTGAGTCATCAGGATTTGGCCGAGTTTGTGGTTCATTTGGGTGAGGAGAGCAGCCACGTGAATGAGTTCGAGAGCAAGCTGGAGGACAGCGGCGCCAAGGTGTCGAGGTCACTCGCCGAAACACTCTTCACCCTCATACAGAAGGTAAGACGAGGCTGTCACTGACCCCGCCAGGCGCCAATGCCCTCTCGCATGAATCTGTGTGTGACCGTCGTGTCGCAGCTGGGCAAGAAGAAGCAGCCCGCTCCCTCCCCCGCGTCCCACCCTGGTGCCGCCTCTGCCAGCAGCTCAGCTGCGGCACACGGTTCACCAGCTGCTGCCCCTCCCTCACGCGCCAATGGTGCGTCAGACGATGACGTGTCGCCCGTGAGCCCGCACGACAGGCTGCTAAGAGAGCGTGCCCGTCGCTTCCCGGGCCTGGCTGTGCCCGACAACCGTAACCGGGAGGAGCTGCAAATGGAGAGACCTGACGAGCATGCCCCTGTGTCGTCAGCTGCCCGGAAACTGCTGCTACGAGAGGAATCAGACAATACCCGAGACCGGTGAGGGACCAGAGAGCACGATCCATGCACCACACACACACACACACTACACACTACACTAACGGGCTGGGTGTATGTGTGTGGTCTCGTGTGGTCTTGGCTCAGGGAGGGCTGGCGTGACGCGCTGGCCAGCGAACGGGAGAGGTCCCGCGGCGACATGGAGGACCGCAGCCCCACCAGACACGATGATGACCGCAGGAAGAGACACAGAGACGAATCGCATGACGAAGGGTATCAGATGTACTACAAAGGTTCTGAAGCACATGCATCTCACTCCTTCATGTACTTATGTGTTCAGTCCCCCCAGGTATGTGCCGGGTCGGCGCATGCCGGTGCTGCTGTACGGCATCTACGACGGCACTGTGTCGCGCGTCATGGACTACGGGTGCTTCATCGCGCTCGAGACGGCAGAGGGCCGCAAGGAGGGCCTCGTACACGCGTCAGAGATTCGCGCAGAAGGCAAAGTGCTCAAGTGCCAGTAAGCACACTCTCTCCCACATGGCAGAGCAGGGTTTGGGATGCATCGCGTGCCCGTCCTTGTGTGCCTAGGGACGTGATAAGTCGAAATACGGCCGTGAAGGTCAAGATCATCGGCATCGCAGGTAAAGAACCTCGGTCTCTGCCTCCCTCAGCGATGTGTCACGAGCGCCCTGTGTTGGATGAACAGGCAGCAAGTTGAGTTTGAGCATGCGTGAGGTGGATCAGGAGACTGGAGAGGACCTCAAGCCCAGGAAAAAGAAGACCCAACACGACATGGACGACGAGGGTAGAAGCAACATGCAGACCGACATCTGTGGTTTGATGGGTGTGGGTATACCTGTATATCTGCGTTGCGTTGCAGATCCCCTGTCGTCTTATGCGAATCCCGCCCGTCCGAAGGAAATGGAGCGGCCGGGGTTCGGGGGCCTCACGGGCATCAAACTCGACGATAACACGTTCACACAGGAGGGATCCAAACGACAGAAGAAACAGTACGCATCCTCACCAGCAAACACATAACCAGGTGCATCTGCACCAGAGGGTGCTGCATTGTGTGTCTGTGTTTGGTGTGCAGGCTCAGTGATTTGGAGAAGTGGGAGGCACAGAAGCTGAGGCACTCAGGTGCGTACAAAACTCAGTCGCCACACGAGCAGCCACACGAGCAACGGGCATTCATATGTCATGTACCCTTCCATGTGCCACTCGTTACGTAGGCGTGTTGCCTGTGAACGAGTACGTTGAGTTTGACGAGGAGCAGGGCCTCATGCCCGAGACTGAAGTCGCCGCTGACGTCGAAGTCGAAATCATCGAAATTGAACCCGCATTCCTCAAGGGTACTACAAAGCGTCGTCAATCAGTGCCATACAGCTGTCCTGTCCCGTCCATTCCCTTTCATCCCCCAGGTCAGACGACCCGTACGGGTGCGCAGTTGTCCCCCATCAAGATCGTGGCCAACCCCGATGGCTCCCTTGCCCGGGCGGCCGCCACGCAGAGTGCTTTGTCGAAGGAGCGTCGTGAAGTGCGCGACCAGCAGCAGCGGTCCTTGCTGGACTCCATCCCCAAGGACATGAATCGGCCGTGGGAGGACCCCAACCCAGAGCCGGGCGAGAGGACAATCGCACAGGCACTGAGAGGTGTCGGAGCCAGCGCATACGAAATGCCAGAGTGGAAGAAGATGTACATCGGCAAATCAGTGTCTTACGGACAGGTGGGGTGGGAGGTGAAGGAAGGCCACGAGTGCACTTTTGTGTATGCGTTGTTGCCTGCGCTTGATTGTTCAGAAATCCAAGATGTCGCTGAAGGAGCAGCGTGAGTCGCTGCCCATCTTCAAGTTGCGTGACGCCTTGCTGCAGGCCATCCACGACAATCAGGTCCTGATAGTTATTGGCGAGACGGGCAGCGGCAAAACAACACAAATGACGCAATACCTCGCTGAAGCAGGTATGTGTGCCAACACGACCACATATAAGTGAAGGTCACCGCCTATGTTGTGTGTGCTTATATGTGTGCAGGTTACACGACTCGTGGGATGATTGGGTGCACTCAGCCGCGTCGTGTGGCGGCCATGTCTGTGGCCAAGCGCGTGGCGGAGGAGTTCGGCTGCCGGCTGGGCCAGGAGGTGGGTTACGCCATCCGATTCGAGGACTGCACTAGCCAGGACACGCAGATCAAGTACATGACCGACGGTATGCTTCTGCGCGAGGCACTCATCGACACCAAACTCTCCAAATACTCTACCATACTCGTGAGACGGAATACAGACATGGTTCAACATGGCGCATTGCATGTATAACGTGTGCACGATGCAGCTGGACGAGGCTCACGAGCGAACCATCGCAACGGACGTGCTCTTTGGATTGCTTAAGGTAAGCTCGAGACGGCATGAACACAGACGTGACATCCTGATCTCATGCAGCCTCTGTCTCTGCATCAATCAGCAAGCGGTGCGTGAGCGTCCCGATCTGAAGTTGATAGTCACGTCCGCCACACTTGACGCCGAGAAGTTCTCGTCATACTTTTTCAACAGTCACATCTTCACGATACCTGGCCGCACATTCCCTGTCGAGGTAACGACACACGACAGGAAAGGGGACACACACCTCTGTGGTGGACTCCTGTGTTGTGCTGCGTAGATATTGTACACGAAGGAGCCGGAGAACGACTATGTCGAAGCGGCGCTGATCACCGTGCTGCAAATCCACCTGTGCGAGCCCGAGGGTGACATTTTGGTGTTTCTGACGGGTCAGGAGGAGATTGACACGGCCTGCCAGACTCTGCACGAGCGGATGCAGCGGCTGGAGAACATGAACCCGCCGCCTTTGATTCCGCTGCCCGTGTACAGCGCCCTCCCGTCCGAGATGCAGACCATGATATTCGACCCCGCCCCGCCCGGATGTCGAAAGTGTGTCGTCGCCACCAACATCGCTGAGGCCTCACTCACCATCGATGGTACGCGATGGGAGGCGGTAGGTAGATGTACACGTGGACTCTACACGGTGGTCGTGTTGTGTGCCTGTCAGGGATCTTCTTTGTGGTTGATCCTGGTTTTGCCAAGGTGAAGATGTACAACCCTAAGACAGGCATGGACTCCCTCGTCGTCGCACCCATCTCACAGGTAGGTAAAACGCACATCTCACGCCACCCGGACCACACGGATGAACATCTGTCTGTCTGTCTGTCTGTCTGTCTGTCTGTCCGTTTTACCTCTTTCGTGCAGGCTAACGCTCGTCAGCGTGCCGGTCGTGCAGGCCGCACGGGTCCCGGCAAGTGCTACCGCCTGTACACAGAGCAGGCCTACAGGACAGAGATGCTGTCAACGGCGGTGCCTGAAATCCAGCGGACGAACCTGGCCAACACCGTGTTGCTGTTGAAGGCCATGGGCGTCAATGACATGCTCAACTTCGACTTTATGGACCCACCTCCTGTGCAGGTCATCACATACACACTTAGTTCGCTATTTAAGGGCGTCATATGTGACGTTTGGTTGGTTCAGACGCTGATCAATGCGTTGGAGGCCCTCTATGAGCTGGGTGCGCTCGACGAGGAGGGGCTCATGACGCGACTGGGACGCAAGATGGCCGAGTTCCCCATGGAACCCAATCTCTCAAAGGCAAGCCGGCAGAGGACAGTACATGGGCGCAAAGGAGCATGTCATCAGGATTGTCTGTTCGTTAATTTTGTCTCGTTCAGATGTTGCTCACAGCTGTCGACCTCAAGTGCTCTGACGAAAGTAAGGGAATCATCAATGGATGGATGCGTGAACGGTGCACAGCACGATGCGCATTCCTGATGTGGATATGGACGGGTGTGTGGGTGTATGGGGTGTATAAATGGGTGCAGTCATCACGATAGTGGGCATGTTGACCGTCCAGAACGTCTTTTACCGTCCGCGCGACAAGCAGGCGGTGGCCGACCAGAAGAAGTCCAAGTTCCATCAGCCCGAGGGCGACCACCTCACCCTACTTGAGGTCTACAAGAGCTGGCAGGCCAACAGATTCTCCAACCCTTGGTGCTACGAGAACTTCATCCAGGTCAGCCAGACTGCCTGACGCGCATGCACCTGACGCCGTCCGGGCGCACGCCCACATGTATGTATGAGTGCATGTACAGGCGCGCGCGCTTCGCAAGGCGCAGGATGTGCGGAAGCAGTTGATAACAATCATGGACCGGTACAAGCTCGACATACTCTCTGCTGGCAGGGACTACAACAGGTAATTCACTGCTCTGATGAGTCTGATAGACAAACGGGTAGGGTGACTTGCTGTTTGCTGTGCCTGTGCAGGGTCCGGAAGTCGATCTGTGCTGGCTTCTTCCGTCATGCATGCAAGAAGGATCCACAGGTAAGGCAAACGCCAAGGCTGCCACGGTGTAAGAAGGTCCTGCCTTGAGGCAGTCCTGCATTGTACTGCATTGGTCGGCCAGGAGGGTTACCGCACGCTGACCGATCATCAGCAGGTATACATCCACCCCTCCAGCGCACTCTACAACAAGTGAGAGGACAGGAACGAAGACGCACACGAGCGCAATTGCCCATCCCTTGTCGCTTCCTCTCCTTCAGGGGTCCCGAGTGGATAGTGTACCACGAGCTGGTCCTCACGACCAAGGTACTTACTCACACGCCACGCAGAGCACCACCACATCTCTTGTTTCTGTGGCCTCCAGGAGTACTTGCGTGAGTGTTGCACGTTGGAGCCCCAGTGGCTGGTGGAGTTGGCCCCCAACCTTTTCAAGAAAGCCGACGACACGAAGCTGTCCAAGCGCAAGATGCGGGAGAGAATCGAACCACTCTACAATCGATTCGAGGAACCTAACGCGTGGCGACTCAGCAAGAGGAAAGGGTAACAATCCTCGATGCCTGCATGGATACTTCATTTGAACTCATGCTGCGCTCATTCCCGTACTCTGACATGAATCAAGTGGTCAGTAATGTGAATGCACAGACCAGTATATCAACAGCGATAATGTAGTGTCTCTGTACAATCTATCAACCCAATCTATCAACCTCCCTCCTCTTCTTCTTTTTTTTCTTGCTTCCTCTTCCTCTTCTTCCTCTTCGGGCGCTCCTCCTCTCTATCATCTACGGGCATCTCAACGCCCCCCCTGTCAAATCGATAGTGCAGCCTCTCCATGGCCCGCGGTGATCGATGGCCCGCTGCAAGGCCTCCTCGTCGCCGTACTTGTTGCGGGAGAAGGACTTGGTCCTGTGCTCGCCGCCCTCCTGCCATTGGGCCAGCCATCTGTGCTTGCTCTTGTCGAAAAGACTTGATATTGACATAATAATGTGTGTCCGTATTCTATATAACGATCCCCGTCTACATATTACTCGGTCATATCCATCCATGAAATAACATGTTTGACTGTTAACGTTCAACGTGGTCCACATGCTTTCACGTAACCATAGTCTTTTGAAACACCGCGCAAGCAGCCCCTACCATGAGGGTGCACACCCCGTTCCGCAGCCACCTGCTGTGGATCTGTTGGTGAGTTCCTTAAAGAGCAGCTTGCCGTACTTCTTGTACATGGACACTACACCACCCTGCCGATAAATCTCCTCCTGCATGCAATCACGTACACAAGACATACCCACGTAATGCAGACACGCCGACATCTACCAGCTCAGTGTGTCGGCACCTGTATTTCCGGAAAGTCAAATCTGAACGACTTGCCCTGCACAGTGACGGTGCGATTGGGCACATCTACGGTGATAGCTGCGTTCTCACATGCAAGCTGCACACAGACACCCACGCAATCGATCCATGCGTCATGATGTGTACCTGTCACGGATGTGCGCCTGTCAGGATGGCTCACCGTGTAGAATTCGTCATCGTCGATGTTGATGCCCAGCAGGTCGAGGGACAATAGGTTGCGCCCGAAGATGAAGGAGAACGACTTGGCGATCACCGTCTGCACCCCACACCAACGCAGGCAACTCACCGCCTCCTCGCGAGAGGACCCACATCCGAACCTTAAACAAACCCAAGATGAGAAACGTGATGTCCGTTCCATGTAGCAGCCATTCGCCTTATCTGCCTTTTCTGTGTAGTTGTTACCGACCCTTTTCCGGCGACGACGATGTTCTGTCCCTGTTTGACCCTCTCGACGAATTCGGGTCTGTCTATGCAGAAGGACTTGTCGCCGAGGGCAGCGTCTCGCAAGGGGATGTATTGGGCAGGGATGATAGCGTCAGTGTCCACACTGTCACCGAATACTTGGGCACGACCCTCAATCACCCCTAGCTGCTTCACCTCGCCTAGATCCACTGGACACACAGACACGCGGAAACACATGGATACAGGCCGGCTACACGTGTCGTGTGGTCATCCTCTCACTTGCAGCTTGCATTTGAGAGGAGTCTTCCTGCGGGTTGGCGAGCGAAGGCTGCGGTTCGACGACATTCAGAGGCCCCTAAAGGGTAATGAAACACATCCCATCCCATGTCTCATGTCCGAGCGCGATAGTGCCATTCTCGGTCACTCAGTCAACTTACCTCAGTTCGTTGTATGGCGAGCAGCGAGTCGAACCGTTGCTGGTCAATGGCTTCCAGGAAAGGCATTGGGTCCGTAATCTCCATGTTGAAGCTGGAGGCCGCCACAACCGCCGCCGACGTGATGTTCCCGATCGCACCCTTCCCCATGCGGTTCCTGACAGAGACACAGCAATTTATGGGGATGTGAGTGTCTTACGGCGTATTTTCGTGCGGCATGCCTGAAGTTTCTGTTCTGGCTGGATAGCCATATCTCTTTTTCTTGAGCGCGGTCCACAGACACACCCAGGCAATACGAACAGCCAGCAGCGCCGATTGTGAAACCAGCCCTTATGAATAGACAATCAAACATACACACGATCTTCAGCGGCTTGCTGTCAGCCGCTTACTTTCTGTATATGTCGCAGATGCCCAGCCGCTCCAGATTTCGGATCATGATAGAAGAGCCGGGAGTCACCTAAAATTGTACAAAGACACACGTTGAGAAAAATTTTCCAAAGTGCGAAGTGACCCACTTGTCTCTTGTATGGTTTGTTGTCTCTTTGTTTCGGTGACAGTCCAAACTTGTCCATGGCGACCTCGAGCACGAGCCCTGCGAGGATGATTTCGCTCTCCGTGGTGGTGCATGCGCCGATGAAACACCCGTCCAGATAACGAATAGTGTCGCACACCTGCAACAAGCGCGCGGGAAAGTCGATCCTGGTCTCTTATCTTGTCTCCTGCGTTTCAGCTCACCTTCTTCCCGTTGTCTGGGTCGATGAGGGGCTCATACAGCTTCGGGTCATCGAGAGAGAACACATTGTCGGGCTCCGGCCACATCGCAACTGACACAAGGAAAACCAATGTGGCGCTGTGGGATGGCGCGAGTGTCAGCGTGCGCTGACCTGATGGTCTGACATCGTTTAGGCTGAGTGTCAGTCGCTTGTAGTACTGGGCGTCCAAGTCGGCGCGGAGATACACGGGGGCCTCGTCACGACCGACGCGCTTCGGACGCTTCTGGATAAACGCCTGATAGAACAAGGCAGACACAGGAGGTGGCCTGTGCATGGCACTCTCTGCTGGCCTCACGTCCGTGATCTCATCTGCCTGGACGATGCCTGCGATTGCCCCGAATTCCGTGGCCATGTTGGAAATTGCGAATCGTGAGTCGACCGATAGCTGTGAGAGGTTACCAGCGACTTCCACCACCCTGTCCAGCGCAACTGTATTGCGGCCGAACTGCTTGAGCATCCACAGGATGACGTCCTTGCCCACTAGCCCACGCTTTAGGGTGCCCGTGAGCTCAATCAAGACCGTCTCGGGCACCTTGAGCCACGTCTGTCCCGTCACTAGCGGCATCACCACATCTGCAGCACCCATCCCTGCCACACGCATGCATATTGGGACAATGGGAGATTAGGAGGGGAAACCAGGGGTCTCGCTTACCCGCAGCCAGTGCGCCAACGCATCCATGGGCGCAGCTGTGGCTGTCGGCGCCAACAATCACAGTGCCTGCAATAAGCCATCATGAAAGGGCGAGCCACGTCTTCTGGTGCATGTATGTTTCTTATCACCTGGTTCAGCGCGCTGCCTATAGAACTCAGTGTGAAGGATCGATTCGTTGGGACCGAAGTAGTCCTGGGGTACCGATAACAGAGATGCACAAATTGGGGTGTCCTGCGCTTCTTACCTCGAGGGCCACTTTGTCAGCAAACTCCTTGCATGCCTGAATGCGCTTCTGGATGACAGGCTCGTGATAGTTGCTGACGATACAGGACGTGTACGGAATCGGATGCTAGATGCACGATGTGCCGTGTGTTTTCCTGTTTCTGCCACCATACCGTGGGTCGACCGAGTGGTCCACAGCGAGGAAGAACCTGTCGTTCCGCCAAATGTCGGGATTGTCAATCTTCTCCAAGCATTGTTTCATCCCAACCCACGTCAGCTCACTCGCCAGCGTACGAGCCACCTTGACAACCACAACCTGACCAGACGTGTCAATGCAATGTGTGCCTGCAGGTGCCTCCCTGCTGCTCCGCAGCGGCTGACCTGTCCAGGTTTGACCTCCGGAGAGGTGAGGCCAACCGCTTGGTGGCACAGGATCTTCTCTGATAGGGTCATCGCTCTCATTCTCCTTTGACCCGACATTGGCGCAAGCGATACCGAGGGGCTCAGAAAGCGAGTCAGCTAGGTGAGAAGAATCAATCGTTCGGTCGGTTCGGTGGCGATCTCAGGCAGGTCACAGTTGTGCTCAGATCTGCAGACAGAGACAAGAACGCAGCCATTCGGGTTCTCAGTGGTGCTTAGATCTGCTTCGACCCTCACGTTGGGGTGCACTTGTTCAATCTCTCTCTCTGGTGCGCATCAAGACAACGTTTCTTAGGGTGCGGTTCTATGAAAGGCACCGTGACCGTGAAACTCAATGGAACCCCCGCGAACGCGGGTCGACGAACTGTTACGAGGGGGGGCCCCCTCGTAACGGAAGGCGATCGGAAAGGGACACCTTACAAAAATCTGTCGTCCCCGTTTGCGCTCTCCTTGGACGGCCGCCACGTGTGAATCTCACTCTCGCTGCCCCAGGTGTGTGAATCTCACTCCTTCCTCGAGTGACCCTCACCCCTGCTCGGGCGCTCTCGCCCTGCTCGGGCTGTCATCGGCAGTGTGCACCGGCAAAACCGCCACGTCTATGACCTGAACTCACCCACGCTGCCCTGTCCTACCCACTCTGCCATTCCGCCCCTGGCCCCTCACCCCTGATCCCTGGCCCCTCACCCCTGACCCCTGACCATGCACAAGACGACCCCTGATCCCATCAGTGCTGACCCTCCCACCGACTCTGCTTCGTCCTCTTCAAACCCGGCCGGCCGTGATGCCACGCTCGTCTACGAGGCGCAGATGAAGAAACTCGGCCTTGTCAGCACCACAGAGGCAACGGCCACTTGGACGGCCAAGGTGCAGCCCCTACTCGCAAGCCTTCCAGAGGCCATGCAGAAGCCGGTCGCGGATGTCCTCGTGTTCCAGCACAACTACACCATCGATGTGATCACCGACCTGCTTGGTGTCACGTCAGCAAAGGGCGACGAGAAAGCCGCTGACATCTGCAGCAGACTCGACACCATGGACCTCAACGCGGCCAACTTCAAGACGGAGGTTGCCGAGGCCTTCACCCGCACCAGCACCGCCATCGCATGCCTCGACGACAAGATCAACACGACGGAGCGCAAGATCGGGGAGGGGAAGCTTCGCATGCGCGGCGTCCGCCCCGACAGGCTGACCGACCCTGGCCAGCTGCACCGCTACGTCTACAGCGTCCTCGAGCGCGCCCAGCCGCCCATCCCCCCTCTCTCCGTCAACTTCATCTGCACGCCGGCAGGCAAGCGCGACGTCATCCTGGCCTTTGGTGATGGACAGCTGGCTGGGCACATGCACATGCGCATGCGGCAGGGCCGCGGGCGCATCTGGTGTGGTGGGGTCGAGTATGGGCTCACATCGGTGCAAGGGCCTGACGAGTCGCTCTCGTATGCCCTCATGCTCGCGGTTGACCGCGGTATGGGCGACAAGATCGAGGTCGGCCCTGTTATCTGCCACCCCTCCCCCCACCCTGGCCCCCACACCGACGTCCGTCATCGCACCCCCACCTATATCGACCGAGCCCCGGTGCCCGTGTACATCAACGAGGCGCACGCCCTCAACTCGGCCGTTCCTGCCTGGGGTGCCCTGTCGACATCCCCGACATCCTCAGTCGCCGCACCCCTCCCCCTTCCCCCTTCCCCCGCCCGCCCTCATCCGTCGTCCGTTCCGTCTTCCTCTCCCCTGCCCCCCTCAATGGTTGCCCCTGCAGTGCCGATCGTCCCTCCAGTGACGATGACTGCACCCACCCTCACAACGGCTCGGTCGCTGCCTGCAGCATCGTCGTCTCCGGGGGGGTCGCCGCACTCCAAACGACACCATGCTGCACCCGGTGGCGGTCCGCGTGCAGCAGCCTGTGCGCCGTCAGCACCAGCGGAGTCGCCCCGTGCAGTTCCCTCCACCCCTTCATTCGCATCCATGCCCACCTCGGCGACGTCCCGCCCAGCCTCTCGTTCTGCGAAAGGGGGACCCTCTCGAGGCCCCTCACACATCGCGTCGGTGTGCCTCAACCCGGTCAGCCGGAAATTTCGTAGCCCTCAGGCCGGCCAATGATAGCTGGTGGGAATGGATGGATGGCGGGAGGGAGGGACGATGGGGATGGGCAATGGCCATGGGGGCTCTTATTGTGGGTGGTTGCCTTCTGATGGGTGTATTGTTTGTTGTATGCGTGGCCATATGCATTTTCCTTGGTCCATTTTCCTACTCTCGTCGCTTCTGGCATGTCTGGATCACTCGTTGTGCTGCTGCGTGTGTTTGTCACTTACGTGTTCTCCTCTGCTTGGTGCCGTGGTGGGCTATGCTACGCACACTCCTACTTTGGCTCGTGTTGTGTGGATGGCTGGGAGGGGAGGGGGACGAGGTGCTCGCACTTGTTATTGGCGGCCTTGCTGTTGTCACCGTGGCAATGTGTGTCTTGGTGCATGGCTGTATCTCTCTTGTTTCTTTGCCTCCTTCTCGTTACCCTCTCTATTTACTGCCCCCTCGTCCGTCTCGGTTCATGTGGCGCCGCTGGAGGCCGCCAAGCTACTCTCGTGTTGACGTCCTTTACGACGGTACCTCCCTCGCTCTCGGGTGTGCTTGGGAGGCCACCCTCTCTATTTTTTGTGTTCTGTCGGCGCCTTAGCTGCTCGTGCGTGGACACAGCTCAGAATGCCTGCCCTTCGTCGGTGTTCTCTGTTCTCTCTTTTTTATGCGTCTTTATCCACCTGTGGGTGATGTATTCTATGGTGTATTCTATGCGGGACGGGATGGGCGGCAAGGAAGGGGAGTGGGCGTGACCGTGCGTACAGTTCATGCTGATGATGCATGTCGTGTCGCTGATGCAATGACTGCTTCGCTCTGTCTCCATGGCGTGCGAGCACCGGGCTTTATGTCTCGTTTCTCGTTCGCGAGAGGTGGCACCCAGCCTGTCATGCTTCTGCCATGCCTACTGGAGGGGCGATCAGTTCATCGTACGAGTACTTTGCATGTTGCACTACGTGCATTACGTGGGGGTGGGCTGCATGGAGCGTGCGGGTGGTATGCCGTGGTGCACGTGGGTGCGTTGGGTGTATATATGCGTTGCCCTGCTGCATTCCGTGATGTGGGCGGGTGGTGTTTGGGGACTAAGGCCTACGCGCGGCCATTAGGGGAGACGACGTCAGAGAGAGGCCAGTCAGCTCGTTCGTCTGCATCCATGACTCGGGACGCTCCATCTGCTGGAGCGGCTCCTGCAATTCATGGCGACACTCGCAGGACAGGCTCTTCCGGTCTTTCTGATCGGCCACAGCCGGCAGAGCCAGCTGTATGTGTTGGTATGCCATGCTCTCCCCCTGCACAGCAGACATATCACTTCCTGTTCCTCAATATCCAGGGGCTGGCGGCTAAGGTTACTGGCTTTGCATCGTTATTTGATGAGCTTCTAAAGGTTGATGCGCATGGCGCTCGCTATGATTTTCTGGCTTTTGCTGAGACTTTCCACGATGAGTCGTGTGTTGATTTGACTGGCTACTCGTGTTGGCATGCCCCTCGTGCGCAAATGTTCAATCATGCCACACATACCGACGTTCTTTCTGGGGGTGTTGCTATATATGCTAGCCGTCGCGTGAGCCCTTTCGTGAAGCAGAGGCAATGTGGGATTGGAAATGTTGTTGTGGTTGAGTGTTCGCCTGCTCTACTCGGCTTGGACCGGTCTCTTTTCATCATGGCTTGCTATGTACCGCCATGGTGTGAGTCAGACAAGCCAGGCGGGGAGTGGTGGGATGCTGTGGATGTGCTGTGTGGTACACTGACTGATGAGCGTCACTTGCTCCTGCTGGGGGACTTTAATGCACATACGTCCACACTTCCTGACACATTGAGTGCTGCTGACTATGAGGAAGTGGGAGTCGATGTTGGCACACTTCATCCTCTCCTCCTCACTCCCCCCTCCCGTTTGTCTGCGTGCGTGTCTCCAACTGACTTGACATGTGCCGGTCGAATGGGTTGTTGGCCGACACATCGGGCGGTCCCCATCTACTCTCACGTCTGCTGCGACATTCGCTCAAGGCAGGGGTACTGTGATTGATTATGCTATCGCGTCTCCTCGTTTGTATTCTCTCGCTACTTACTTTGATCTTGCCCTGACTGACTTACACACACAGCATTTGGCGCTCTCTCTCGGCTTCACCGTGAGTAGTGAGCCTCATGCTGTGACTGATTTGCGTGATCGCATTCGTGCTGCGCGTCATAATCCTAGCCGTGCACTCTATCGGTGGACGGTTGGAGACTTGAATGCAATCATGTCTGACTTACTCAACGACCCATCGCATCTGTATCTGCGTGATGAGTTGGCTGCAGCAATGCGTGTACATGACTCTGCCCGTTCTAGTGTGGCGGCTACGCGTGTACTCAACTCACTTACTTCTATCTTCCACAAACATTCATCATATGTCGATTGCCGCCGCAAGGCAGCAGACGCGATTTTGCGTTGCTTAGATGGGCATGGTCCTCGCACTACGCTCTCTGCGCTTCCCCTCCCACTTGCTGTGCGCCGTTCTATTGCCGATGCACGTCAGGCGCATGCTGCGTATCGTGCTGCTCGTCTGACGGGCGATGCGGCCGGTCAGGCAGCTGCCTATGATGCGTTTCGGCAAAAAGGCGCATACCGTAAATCTCTCTGTGAGGGCTGTAAGCGTGATGCTATACGGGCGAAGGTCCATGAGATTGCACTGTTGCGTCGTGTCAAGGTGAAGGATTTTTGGCGTCATTTTCATTCGTCCAGTCATTCGGTTCCTGCCCTCCCCTTACATACACCTACTCTCTCCCAGCGCGCGCAGCACTATGAGCATGTTTTTGCTGGGCCTCAGGTTGCGTACTTTGACCCGGCTGCCCCTGTCTCTGCTGCTCATCGTAATGCACATGCTAGGCAGCGTCACGTACCTGTTGATTGGTCCGGCCTCTGCTTTCTCTGCTTCCGCTTTGGAGGCCATTCTCGCTCATTGCCCATCGACTAGCTCTTCTGGCCTTGATGGTATCACTTATCAGTTGTGAAACGTGTCGGGACGGCCGCTCTCACTGACCTCAGCCAGGTGTTCACTGCGTTTTTTCGCTCGCGTACGTGGGCGTACGCTCATGATTGTATTCTTGTTCATCCTCTGCATAAGAAGGGCCCTACTGACTTGCCTGATAATTATCGGGGCATCCACTTGCTGCCTGTCTGGGAGAAATTGTATGGTCACCTCCTAATGCCATCCTCTCTCAGACATCCACATGCCCAGAACAGGCTGGTTTTCGTAGGGATCATGGTACCATTGGCCAGTGCTTTGTGTTGGGTAGCTTGATAGAACGTGCTCGTCGTGCCAGGCAGCCACTCTATGTGTGCTTCGTTGATTTTCGTAAGGCGTTTGACTCCGTCAATCGTGAGCTCCTCTGGGATGTCCTTCGTAGGAAGGGCATTGCAGAGACTCTCGTACGGAATCTCGAAGCTCTGTATGCACGTGTGAAGGCGCGTGTTCATGGTAGCTTTGAGGGGCTGTCTGCTGTGTTTAAGGAGCTGTTCGGTGTTAAGCAAGGCGATCTCCTTGGCCCACTCTTGTCTTCTCTTTTTGTCGATGACCTGCCTGAATACATTCGCGCTGGCCGTGAGGCCACCGCCCCACTCTTGCGGCTCATCGACATTGTTGTGTTCGCTTTGTTGTACGCCGATGATCTTGCTTTGCTTGCTGTATGCGCTCCAGGCCTGCAAGAAAGCCTTGAGCCTACATCAGTGATGAGAAGAGCAGGGTGGTTATTTTTAACCCTGAGTTTGCCCCTATCCCACCCCCCACTTTTCACTTCGGCCCTGCAACCGATGTCTTGACTCGTGAGCTCGCTTTTCGCCATCTTGGTGTATGGTTTCATGAATCGGTGGGGTGGGAGTATCACTTGCAGGTGATGAGTGGGAAAGCAAGTACTTCTCTGAATATCCTTTACCATCGTCTTAAACGTTTGCCTGCACTGGACCCAGCAACTCTTTTCCTTCTTTTCGATACACTTGTTGCGCCTGTGTATTTGTATGGCTGTGAGTTCTGGGCGAGCCTGCCGTGTCGTCAGCTCGATAAGTTACATCGCCGGTTTCTCTTGCGTGTCATGCGTGTCTCATCTCGCACTAGCACGAACGCATTACTCACTGAGACCGGCCGCTTTCCCGTCCCGTATGAAGCGCGCCGGCGGCTGCTTGATTTTCTATGTCGTATATGGAATGGTCGCTGCGGCGAGCTCGCTAGAAAGGCTCTGTCAGAAGCCCAATCTGCTTATACATCCGCACCTCAGTTCACACGTATGCAGACAGACACCACTTACTTCTACAGACAGCACCATAATATGTATGCTCGCTTTGCTGCCGCCTTGGATCATGCAGGTCAGCGCGCTCTGATCTCTAATTTGGTCCCATTAGTGACTCCATGTTGCATGACCTTCGTGTCGGCCATGCTAAGGCTCACTTTGCTGATCCACTCACGTCACGGTGGGACACCAACATACGCACTCGTCATCATTCGCTGCATGATGCACCCCCTCTTCCTCCCCCCCTCTCGCTCTTTCCCTTGCCTCTGTGTCTTCTTCCATGACAATGCCCGTACGCGGATTCTCTTGCATGCACGTCAGCGTTCATTCACTGCTTCTCCTTTCTTTGGCAATGTCTTCCCTCATAGCTTTCCCGTGACCCGTCGGCCTTTTGCGCCGCGCACACAGCGTTGCCTTCTGGACAGAAGCAATCTACTCTCTCTACCTCCCTCATTATTGAGTCAGGCCAAGACTGGCTTCATCGCCTCATCCAGCCTCTGTCCACCTTTCCATGCTACTTTTCACTACCTCGACCCAAGCGTCGTGTGCTGTTCGCTTTTCGGACCGGTACATATCCCTGTGCAGTTACTGATGGGCGTATCGGTGGCCCTCCACGACTGCTGCGCTCTTGCCCGTATTGCACCGTTTTTCATTTCTTGCCTCACATGTGTGTGCCACCTGTTGAGGATGAGCTGCACATTCTTTTCTACTGTCCCCTCTACAGCTCTGCACGAGGGGAAGTATTCCGTGTTGTTCGCATGTATGGCCTTGCGGCGTCTGATGGCAAGGTTTACTTTCGATGGGATCTCAATTATTGTGATCCTCTTGTGTTTGCCTTTTCTTTGCTCACCTCTCGCTCACTGCATGTGCATGAAGCGGTCGCCACGTTTCTGCTTTCTGCGAAAGCCTCGCGAAAGCGGTGGGTTGCGTTGCATCCGGTGCTTCCTTCTCCGGACTCGTGATTTTCTATGGACTCACACAGACCCTTTCTTGCGTACCCCTTCGGGGGGCCGGGGGGCAAGGTCCCCGTGAGGTTAACGAACGAACGAACGTACAAAGATGCCGCGAGCTAAATATATACATCAATCTAGGTGTGGGGTGGATCAGTCGTGTGTGATGGGGCGGGCGTGCACCCCCGCCCCATCACACACGCAGGAGGCTGGCCTGCTCTGTTGCCCTTCTGGCCTCTCTCTCTCCTGCTGTCTGGCTATTCTATGCATCTGGGTTTACAGTGCATCAGTCGTGTGTGATGGGGCGGGCGTGCACTACTAGGCAGCTATGTTACTTCATCTTCAGCCAGTGTGTGAGCGCAGCACACACAGCATCTCATCGACACAGCATCTTTACTTGCCTGCACGTTCTGCGCCTGAGGCTGGACTGCTTTGTTGCCCTTCTGGCCTCTCTTTCCTCTGCTGTCTGGCTGTTCTGTGCATTTGGGTTTGGGTGGATCGGTCGTGTGTGATGGGGCGGGCGTGCACTACTAGGCAGCTATGTCACTTCATCTTCAGCCAGTGTGTGAGGGGGACACACAC